GCGATCCCTAAGGATCTTAACACCGAGCACATAGCTTGCCTCACCCATGTCCTTCATTTCAAATGTAGAGAACAACCACATTTTAGTGGCGACAATCATCTCCTTGTCATTTCCAGCCAATAATATGTCATCTACACAAAATAATTAAATTGGTGTTAGCAGGCAAGATTGGCTCACTCACACGAGCAATCGCCCTTAGCGCTGGGTAGCGAGTAAGGATGAGACTAGAAGCTAAAATTATCCACTAGCTATGTCGCCTTGGTTGGATCCAAGATGAGGTCTTGTTAGAGACCGGCCATGGATATGAGAGTACCCACTTTTCATGATATGTCTGTTATGGATAGCCAGATGCGAGATCTCATTTGATGCCTGAGAGGCGAGCAAATAGAGAATTCGAGTTAGACGCTAGGAAGCGACTCGTGCGCTTAAGAGCGACTAGACTAAGATCTGTATGGTGTGTGAGTTTAACATCACTCTTTGGAAGAGTAACTCCACTATAACATGCATTCGTACTGCATGTGCTTATCGACCCATTAGCGAGGTGAAAGAATGGATCCCTGCTTCTTCACCGTGTGAGTCCTAAAAGTCATTTTTCCCTAAATGACTTCACTTTGTGCCTTTTGTGACCTTTGACTATGTCATAAGATGAGGAGTTGATGTTCAGCTACTTTGGTATGTTGCCTGCGGTCATGTATGATTCGGCTTTAAGGGACATTACTGGGAAAGCGATCAATTGCAAATTGAATGATATAAGGGTGAAGGGAAGACCATCTAGTTCTACATCTCTGCTCTATATTCACTGTCGACAACTCACATCGCTCTTTATAGGATGCTGATTGGGTGTGAATATAATGCGGGACCTAGGAGAGTCAAGCATGCTCTTTGAGGGATTAGAGATGTTTTTGGACTGATGTAGCTAGATGGGTCTAGGTACATGAGACACTATTTCTGTTTTTTTTTAGTTGATGTCTCTATGCTGACTCATATTGAGTTTCTAGTATAGAACTCCCATATGCAGGTGTTCTCAGCGGTCGCACGGTGCATTGGCTAGTAGGAGACTGTTCATTTTTTGGGGAGATTGAGATAGAGATGTGGCAGTGTCATGCCGACTCATGTGCGAGTGGAAGATGTTAGAAATGGGCGCCCATGTGACATGACCATTTCAATGCTTTGAATTTATAACTGTAACTCCTGCATTAATGGGGTTTGTAACTCCTGCCTTTATTGCAGAGGTTAAGGGTGCATTAATGTCGAGCCATAAAGGCTAGAGGCTTTTCCTCTCTCCCCTATACATGTATAAATTGAGACCCTCCTGTCAAGTCTAAAACACAGAAATTTCCCATATTCTGACTCTCTCCCAAAAAACAACGATCAAAGCCGTTTGCATTGTGATTTGTGTGGGTGATATTCACTGTTGTAATATCACCCCACTGCTGGGTTGACTGATCAGATTCAGGAAGCACGTGATTTACCCATGAGATCTTTTCTATTCAGACTCTGCAGGAAAGGTATGACCATAATTTTTATTCCGCTGCGTTATACTGCTGATTTACAATAGCGTTACATGCCGCCTTCGCCTTCACCTCCACCTCCACCTCCACCAACTCACAATCACAACATAAAAATTGAAAGATATAATTTTCAAATTTGATCCTGTACATATCAAATAGCATGTTTTAGTTCAACACTTACATTTTTTTATCAAATTACTTTTCAATTTAAAAAATTCCGCGTTTAGTTTTCAATACTAAATTTTTAGTTTTTAGCTTTATCAAACATCACCTAAGATAACCTAATTCAACACTTAAAACTGAATGTATTAAATGAAAATCCATTCAGCTTGTTTGATAACCATAATTAGTATCACTTAAAAATTTAAGTAGTTTTTAAAATGTAAGAAAAAAATTATGATTGAATTTATAAATACTTATGAATACGTGTTGACATACATGGTTATAACCTCTCCACTGCCCATGACCACCACCACTCCTACCACCACCACCATCGCCACCACCACTATAGTAGTTGCCATCACCACCACCACTCCTACCGCCATCACCACCACCATCATCACACCAACCACCACAGCTACTGCCACCACCAGCACCAGCACCAGCACCACCACCACTACCACAACCTCCATCACCATTGTCATCGATGCATAGCTATTACCATCATTTCACTACTACCACTACACCACCATCACAATTGCCAGTGCCACTACCATTACAACCACCTCTCCGCCATCATTACAACTACCCTTCCCCTCCATAACCATTGCCACCATTGCCATAACCACCATGTCCATTCCACCACCACAATCACCACCATCATTACACCACCACCACCACCACCCCATTTTACCTCCACTACATCACCCCTCCACCATCGCCACAACCACCATCTCTTTACCTCCACCACCATTACCATTGGCACCACTATCAACATTGCAATATAAAAATAATAAATAATAAATTTAATCTTGTGTAAATCAAATAATCTTTTTTAGTTTAGCACTTAATTTTTATTAAACAACTTTTTAGCTTAAAAAATTTCAGCATTCAATTTTCAGTACTTAATTTTTAGCTTTCAGTTTGCACTATATAAATATTCTTAGTCAGCACTATTTTACCCTTTGGATATTAATTTTTTGAACAAAAATCAATTGTTCAAATTCAGAAGTTGATATTCGAACAACTATTTTTGTTTGAAGTTGTGAATTGGAGTGTGGTGTGCAAATTGAAGCTCCCTGTTAGTTATGATTAATATTATTTTCAATGATTTTTTAGTAAAAATTAGATATATATATTTATTTTTTTTTTGGAAATCGTTGATTGAGTGTGGTTTGATTTAGATGGATGGTTGGAACAACACCCATGGGAGCCCACAAACACTTTTACACACCAATTTTTCTTTCTTTCTGGTTTTGGATAGTTTTCGGGCAGAAAAGTGTGCGGGGTTACTCCCGAGTATTGTGACTAGGGGTGTTCATGGGTCCGTTTGGCAAAATTTGTAACCAATCCAATCATGGTCGGTCGATTTCAAGTTTTTGGATTCAGAACCAAACCAATCATGCACTAGAACCAATCCAACCCAACCCAACCCAACCTAGCTCGGGTTGGAACCACGGTTCTACTATATTAAAAATAAGTGAATCAGTCAATAATAAATAACTAAAATAAACAAGTCTTTAATATTTAAACATAATATAAACAAAGAGCAAAATATTGTTTAATGCAAGTCTATACAAATTAAATCCATTAATGAAACCTATACAAATTAAATCCAACTCTAGCTTAAATATAGTCAATACAAATTAAATCCATTAATGCAACCAATACAAATTAAATCAACTGTGAAATCTAACACAAGCTTCTAATACTTCCTTTGTTTACCTCATAATTCTTGTATATGGAAAATTATTAGGTTTAATCAAATCCATTGTAATAGAGCAATAAGGTGAAGACATGTCAATATAAAGAAAATTTTAAAATATATATACATATATATAAATAGGTTCGGTTCTCAGGGTTTAGGCAAGGCCTAAACCAATAACTAACTCAATCCTATCGGTTTGATGATTTGAAGACCCAGAACCCAACCAAGGCACTCAAAAACCAAACTAACCCAATCCAAAGAGGTCAGTTTGGTTTGGTTCTTTGGTTCACTGGGTAATTTGAACACACAGTGTTCTAATGGTTTTTTGGGCTGATTTTATGCAAGCAAATATTGTTGTTTGAGTAGTTCCTACAAAAGTTTGGATTCGTTGAGCTTTCTTTTTATTTTTTTTGATTTGTAAGGCATTTAATTAGACTTTTGTTGGCTATTTTGTGCTATTAATCTTGTGGACATGGTGGAAGGTACTAAGGCTTCTTCAGGCAACAAAGAGAAATATTGTGCTATTTTGTAGACTCCAAGAGCTGCAATGCATATAAAGTATAATAGGTTTCTTCTTCTGCTTATCCGCTGTTGTTGGCATTCCTCTCCTAGTTTTTCTCTTTCTCGTAGGTTTTACTCTATCCTATCTAATAGAATTCTTTCCGTCTTTGGTTGTTAACTATATGGTTAGAAAAGATAGGAAGGAAAAGAATGGATTATATCCCTAATCGGTCTTTCCGCCGTTAGGTAGTTGATGTCCTTGACTGCTATTATTCTTAAATTGCAAAAGGAATTTTTCTTAAGAGAAATATATTGTCAGTTTCTTTTCCACATTTTCAACAGTGAAAGAATCTTGATGTTTCTACTAGTAATTAATGGTATGTATTTTTTATTTTTTATTTTTTTTTATCCATATTGGCATATACATCTTCATTCAGTAATGCATACTGCAATTGACCATGTTATCAATTAGTACTTGAAAACTTATAGATTGATGATTTACAGAACTAGAATTTTTAAAGGTGAATGGTTGTAGTTCTGGTATAAGCTGCAACATCATGAAATGCAAAATTCAAAAGAATGTTAAAATAATCACACTATGCAACCGTTCACACTCCCTTTGTATCATCAAATTCAAATTGCAAAGTTGCATCATAATGATAAATATGAACACCTAGGTTATTATGCCAACTTTTTAGCAGTTCTATACAGGTCATGATTTCATTTGTTGTCTGAATCAAATACGTTTCAACAGAAAATGTAAGTGGCAACAGTTATCACCATTGTTTCTCCATGACTTTTCTAGCATCACACTAAATATAGATGGCCATGGTGCTGGGTACTAAGCAGTGTCCTTGCCAATGTAATATGTTCCTAGGCTTGTTCTAGAATGAAGTCTGGGTTCAATTTCACTTATCGTATTATACCTTTTTCTATAACAATCTCATTCATTATCACAGGTGGCTGCAAATTATGTTGCCATGGTTCCATCTGGACAAATATTTGACAGGTAGTTAATTGATTACTTGTAAATATACTCAATGTCTTGAGTTAATTATGTTAATACCTAGAAAAATACTCTATTGTTTATTTGCACATCCAATTATTACAACTGGTGGGCTGGACCAGATAGTGATTCATTATAAGATTTTTCTTGAAAGTGAAGATCCATACCCACTGATTTATGGTTTCAATAGGTTTCTGCACTTCAACATTTGGGCAGTGTAAATGATGTTGAATGGTTGGATATACAAATTTTTATGGGGGAAAAAATATAAAAAATTGGTTGAAGTTTTGTAATCAGATGGCCCAATCAGAATATCAGACTAAATGACCTATGGGAGTCTCACATCTTGTCATGCACCTTACACAGCCAAACATGCTTTACATGTCGAGCATTGGGCAATGTACAAGAGTAGAGAACTATCCTCAAGGTCTCTTACCACAGAGAAAGTTGTTCCAATGAATGCAGAACTCTGTTGCTTTTTTGGTGTCTTATTCAATTTCTTTATCAACAATTTCACAGTTCACTGGAGAAAGGTCTGCCTTATCTCTTTCGGGTTGGGTCTGGTCAGGTGAGTTCCTCCAAAAAGGGCTTCTAGTGAATTTAATTAATTTGGAAAGTCTTTGTGTGTTTATTAGTTGAACATGATTATGATTACTGACTACAAAGTTAAATGACTAGAATAGGTGATCAAGGGACTTGATGAAGGGATCCTGAGCATGAAAATTGGAGGCAAACGTCGACTGTACATTCCTGGATCAGTAAGTTTTTCACCAGATATCCAGGTTTTTTGATAAAAATAAATCTAGATTAGTATTGCTCATTTAATTTATACTCGTGTGATCTAAATAAACAGATGAATAAATATGGCATTTCTGTTAATCATGTGTCATGTTAGTTTGCACTCACCCGTCCAATTTTCAATGGCTGTTTTGAATTTGCTTTGTTCTTCTTGTCTTTTTAATTGTTCTGCTGTTTTCCTTAACTTGAAACAACATCAACTTCCATTGTTATATTTTTTTCTTTGATTACAATTTACATGTAAATGTATGCACATATCTTCTGTTGTATTGTATATGCTAGTGTTATCATAATCGAAGTTTGTTGTCAGACTCATCGTCTCAAGTAACGCTTCTTCTAACATTTGAGATTTTTGGCTCATGTTTTTCTTTCATTAAATTAGTTGGCGTTCCCGAAAGGTCTCACTTCAGCTCCTGGAAGGCCAAGGGTGGCTCCTAATAGTCCAGTTATTTTTGACGTGAGTTTGGAGTACATACCAGGCCTTGAGGTCGAAGAAGAATAGAATCTAATTGAATTGAATTATTGACATCTTCCTTCCTTCCTTCCTTGCCAGTCTTCTTTTAATTATGAGATCTCTAAAAGAGGTCCGTTATTTATATCAGCATTTGTATTATAATAATACAATACTCCTACTTCCATTTATTCATTCTTTGTACTAAATGTATAACCAGTATTTACCCTTTGTGCATGAGTCTTTTGTTCAGTTTGGATGCTGTGAAAATATGGGTAGAAAAATAAGAAAAATGTGGGGAATGATAATGAAACTGAAGGGGGAGAGGGTAGCATCTTCTCAAAATTATATTTGTTATATGATCCGATCATGTGGCTACAGCTATTTTGATCTACTCTACAAAAATGAATGATTATGATCATTACGATGAATCTCATAGTGGATCCACCTAAATCTAAAACTCTCTAGTTGGAAATCCCAAGAGAGAATTCCAATCTTTATAATTTTCAATTTTGTTTTTTTTTAAAGTAGATATACAAGGAAATATTGTGTCTATTTAAAAATTTATTTACCATTTTATGATTTTTTTTTTAAAATTTAATTTCAAATTTAGGATTTTTTTTTTTTCTCAATTAATTAGTGTTTGTAGCCCAATTGGCACCGCAAATAAGAGGGCGCCACATGGTAGCTTGGAGGGAAGAAGTAGGCCTAAGCTGATTATGATTGAAGCCTTGACCATTGTTTGTAACATTTTGGTATTTGCGTTTGAATATAAGTGGTACAATTAGCATTAATTAGTTCCTGAAAATGATTGATGGATTATGGGGCTTAGTTGTAAAAGTTAACAACGATAGGGGACCTGGCAACATCAGCAGTGATTTAGACCCCCTCAAACTTCAACCTCCACCTCCCACACGTGGCGGGTGGTAATTGGAGGAGAAGAAAAAAAAGAAAAAGAAAAAGAAAAAGCGACCAATCAGAAAAGAAAGGGGATCAAAGGGGTGGGGGAAAGGGGGTCCCAATCTTTATTCTAGCAACATTTGGTAGCGATTGCCCGAACAAATCTAGACTGGGTAACCTGCTTAGTAATCAATATAAATAAAAGATTTAAAGGCATTACAAAGGGTCCAACACCAATTAATTAATTTATCATTCAATAAATTCAATTTTTGCTTAGTGCCTCTATCTTTATTTTCATACCTCCAGCATTTTGTAAATAAAGCTTGTACATTATTTTTTTGAGAATAATAACAGCAAATATCATTAATTAGGTAACAAACATACATTGTTAGCCAGCACATGTGCTGGTTGTACAACATTTCTGGGTACTTCAGAAATATATAACAAATCAAAATACATAGCTGATTGAGTAATGTCTTTAATCATGAGATCCACATTCCAATCAGGGATACCTTTGCCATTTAGCAAATCTATCAAAACTTGGCAATTGGAAAAGATCGAAATGCATCTTATATTTTGAGACACTGCCCATTGAATACCATCCAAGCATGCAGTTGCTTCCGCCGTCGAAGGCGAGGAAAGGTGTCACCAAACCTGGGATTTATCTGGGAATGAATTTTGATTTTTCATGTTGAAGGAAAGAGGAGTTATTTAAAGTTATGGTTGATCGAATCAAGCAAAGATTGCAAGGGTGGAAATGGCAATTTCTTAATTTTGTAGGAAGAAGTACCCTTGTTAAACATGTTTTACAGTCCATCCCAATTAAAACTCTTTCTTTCTTGAAGGTGCCTAATGTTTTTTTGGATCAGATTAAAACCATTTCAAGGAAATTTCCCTATCATTCAACGAAGGAGAATGGCATTTTACTGGAAAAATTGGCACGACTTGTGCATGCCGAAAGGGATGGGAGGTCTAGGACTATGCGACATGGGGTGTTTTAATCAAGCATTGTTGGCTAAACAAGTTTGGCGACTGCTTCAAAGGTCAGATTCTCTCCTGGCAAAGGTTTTATTGGGTAAGTACTGTTATGTTACACCAATCTTATCCACCCAAAAATGTTACACCAATCTTCAATGTATTCAAAGAAAGAAGATAAAGAAATGAGAGTCTATTTGATTACAAAAATCAAAACAGAATATATATATATATATATATTTTTAAGAAAAACAGATTCTTATTTTGTTACAAAAATAATACCAGAATCTGGAAAAGAAGAATTAATAAAAATATAAAAATAAACTAATCACTAACTGTATTATTTTTTCGAACAAAATTTGATCAAGTCTAGTGTTGAACACTGTGTCTTTAAGACAGATTTGTCCTCTCTAGGGTGCTCACAAATATTGGACGTCTATCTCCTAGGATGAAATGATCAATAACAACTAATAGCAGCACTACCAACTAATTGTCTAACAAACACACTTTGTATTTATACTCTTTCTCACGCAGGGAATTTATGCAGCAAATGTAGGAAATAAAAGCATAAAAGAAGAACAAAAATTGGATGAAAAATAAAATGAAGGATTTGTCTATTTATAGGTGAACTGGTGGCTTTTTAGAATGACTTCAACAGGTACCGAACCTGTTCAGACATATTTGAACAGGTAGGGTTAAATTTGAACAGATAATGAACCTATTCGATTGGAAGAAAAATTCTGAAGAGGTGCGAGGGACCAAACTGCCAACGTTCAGAAACGTCGGGATCATTTTGGAATGAATTTTGAATTTCAAATCGAAATTCAAATTCCAAAAGGTAAGAATTTATTTTTTATGAAAAAAAAAATTCAAAAGTTTTTAGCCCAAAAGATAAGTATTGGGCCGGACAAGCCCAACCCAATCGCACCCGTGCCCAAACCTAGCCCAACCCAGCCCACTCGACCGAATGGGAGGCGGCGGCACACGCATGTCTATTTGTTTTGGGTCCAATAGGTCTAGCTCACTTTGCTCATAACCTCCCCTTCTACAAAATTTGAGTGCCCCTTGGGGCTTACCCCAAGGTCTAAACTCAAAGCTTATAAACCCGTACAATGTTAGCCTAGCTAAGCAATGTGGGACAAACTTTCCTTCAATTTCGGAAAACCCACCAAAACACCATTTCTGTGGAGCTTACTTTGGCATCAATTTTCCATTCACCCAATAATGGTTTTGAACAATCAAATATACTATGTGAATCACAATGCGGCATAGAACCTATTACCAACAACACCCACCAACCTCGGCACATGGGTCCCACTTAAAAAATAGATCAAAGTTTAAGAAAAACCTATTTTTCCAAAACCATTCTTACATGTTATTCTCAATCTTTTCTTAATGTTAGGGTTGGCAAATCAGTGTCATTAGGGTGGAGAAGTATCTTGTGGGGAAGAAGTCTAATTAAAGAAGCAGTTAAATGGGTTGTGGGAGATAGCCAATCTATTAATCCACTAGAAGATGATTGGATTTCTCACCAGGTATTCCAATGACTTTTAAGGAATGGTTTTTGGAATCAATCAAGGAAGAGGAGATCATCATTAAATCAATTGCTATCCTATGGGCAATTTGGAGCCAATGAAACATTTTTTTTTATTTTTATGTTATGCATTGGAAAATTCTGGAGGGAGATTATCAATAAAATTAATTTCTATCCTATGGGCAATTTGGCACCAACAAAACAGTTTTGTTTTTGATGTTGCGCATTGGCCAATTCCGCTGGAAGATTATCATTAAAATCAATTGCTATCCCATGGGCAACTTGGCGCCAACAAAAAAAGTTTGCTTTTTTGATGTTGTGCACAGGACAATTCCACAGACTATCAGTACAGTGGATGAGATGCAGAAATATGTTATCAATGCATGCAAGTTGCTGCCTCTATCTAATATTGATACTGATAATATATGTAGTGTTGTTAATAATTGCATGCTGGTCAATTCCTTGGATAACATCTCAAATTTTCAGATGTGGACAATAGTGATTGATGGCTCTTGGAGGGCGAAAGGATATAAAGTCGGATGTGCATGGGTGTGCTTGAATGAGCTGCAAGAGAAAGTGATGGAAAAGGCTACAAGACCTTAACATTAAAAACTGAGTACTAGCTCCTTGTTCTGGTGTGAACTATTTGGATTGAAGAAAACTTCTGATTTGTGAGTATTGATTCTCAATCTAAATTGAGCACAGAAAGCATTCAAAAACCAAGACAAGCACCGCACTTCTTCAGCCTTGAAATTCAAGAAAATAAAACAATCATCAACAAAAAGTAAATGTGAAATAGGAGGGGAGTGCCTACTCACCGCAATCCCTCTATAGATTCCTTGTGCCTGAAGATGATTAAATCCTTTCGATAATCCTTGCATGACTAAAAGAAACAGATAGGGAGAAAGGGGATCCCCTTGTCGAAGGTCAACTGAAGGTTGGAAAAACTGTGACTATTGACCATTAACCAAAATCGAAAAAGAAACAGTCGTGAAGCACTACGATAATAATTGAATCCATTTCTCACTAAATCCCACCCCTCTCAAAATCTTACTGAAAAAAAGACCAATCAACATGATCATAGGCCTTATTCATGTCAAGTTTGAGCCCAAAGGATGACTGTCTTCCCTTCTTCTTTCGAATAAATTCCAGAAGCTCATATGCTAGCAGCACATTGTTTGTTATAAGACGTCCCATAACAAAAGCATTTTGATGTTGGGAAATTAGCACAGGTAGCACCATCCTAAGTCGATTAGCCAACACTTTGGACCCAATCTTACAAATTACAATGCATAGACTAATTGGGCGATAGTTACTTACATTGAGAGGATTGCGAATTTTAGGGATCAAACAAATGAAAGTTTTGTTAAAATCTTTCAACAAATAACCAGACTGAAGGAAAGTAAGCATTGCCTCTGAAATTGATGGACCCACAATATTCTAATAGGATTGATAAAAGCTAGCAATAAATCCATTTGGACCAGGTGATTTAAACTTCCCAAGCTGAAACACTGCTTGCCTCACTTCACTAGCATGGAAAGGTTGTTCTAATATTGCAAGTTGTTCCTCATTAAATTTACAAGTAAAAACATAAAGTAAATTAAAATGATTTGGGAATGCACTTGGATTAATATGCTAATCAACTTCTTGTTGGGAAGCTCCTCCTTAAATAATGATTTGAAATGATCCAAAAAAATCTGCTTGCTTGTTTTGAGATCCGTAATCATCTCCCCTTACTTGTTTTGGATACAAGAAGCTGGTTCTTTTGCTTCCTGTCATGCTCCAAAAATAACAATAATAGATATGCAACATAACTTTCAAACATACACGCGGAAGCTTACCA